TATTAAGCCTTAAAGTTCTGCATAATTAAGGGCGCGGCCACTTGAGTGACAGGTGGATTGCCGCTGCTGTCACCAGCGTTGAACTAGGTGGGCATGGTTTCAGCAACCAGCTCCTGCCTCTTTGCCCATTTTCAATTATCCGGGAGTGACGTGTGGTGACGCGCTGCCAAGATGGCGACGGCCAGCTCCGCCTACTTTAGGCTTCAAAAACGCTCTTCGGAAACCTACGGGTGACGTCACGGACACTACGTCCATGTTTTTATACAGTCTATGGTAATTATGCGACAGAGCGGACAGTTAAGGGGACAGTTAAGTCTCTTTGGAAGAATTGACAATAAAGCAGACTTGACTTGACTTGACTAAAGACGCAATTGTATGACATGATAGTATGTCCCAAAGCTTGCATACTCTTCTACTGCACACTCAAAAGTGTGTACTTTTTCTTCACCAAAAAAGTACATACTTTAAGGGCGTAGTATAAGTAGGCACATTGGGATGCAGCAAATGAATCACTCGTACGCATATTTGAGAAATGATCGTAAGATCAAATTTAGGATGGTTTCTGTCCAACATTTTATAAATGATGCCATCGGACTAGTTTGGATATTTGTTTTTCTGTGTAGTAGCCATTGAACTCCATTTTCCAAACTGCTTTTCTTGCGTAGAGTTGCAAGGCAAGCACTGACTAATTCGTGCTATAAAACCATTATACCTCTGTACTGAGAGACTGAAACAATAAAACTGCCGCATTAGGTGTGTGGTCAGTTTGCGGTCTGTTTAAAGCAGCACTAGTACTAAGCACATGTGCTATCTTTGTCTTCAGATCCTCTGTAGGCAGTGCTCTACCCAGAAGGCGCTGCTGTGCCTACATTACAGTGGGAATGATCTGCATTTTCATCGGTATCGGTTTAACGGTGAGTATTATTTAGTATGGTTCATAGTCATAGTCATAACAAATTTTGTTGTGTTCTCTACCATCCAAAATGTTGGGGACAGTACGTTTTTTCTTGAAAGAAATTAATACTTTTATTCAGCAAGGATGCAAATAAACGTTTGAACTTTCTATTCAAAACAGAAAATTGAAAAATAAAATGCATCATAGTTTCCACATAAATATTAAGCAGCGCAACAGTTTTCAACATTGATAAGCAGCATATTAAAGTGATTTCTGAAGGATCATGTGACACTGAAGACTGGAGTAATGATGCTGAAAATTCAGCAGCATCAAAAAATAAAGGAATAAATTACATTTTAAAATATATAAAAATAGAAATGTTATTTTAAAATTGTAATCATATTTTATAATATTACTGTTTTACTGTATTTTGGCACGTCCTAAGGAAAGCTCATTGTGGGACTGGCTCGTAGTGGCTGAAATTCTGCACCAAGCCTGAATTTCGGGAAAGAGACTTCAGATACAGTACTAGGGACCACTTAGGCCTATATAAAGCATCCAAAAAGCAGCATGTCATGGGACCTTTAAAAAAATCTTACTGACCCCAAACTTGAACATATATGTATATTTATGTATATACTGTATGTATATTTATTTGTGCATATATATTTATATTTAGATATATTTAAATGTCACCAAGGCAGTGTATACTGTATATTCATATACATGAAGTCACGGTTTTCTTTAGTAACAGATTTATTTCAGTCACGCTTGTACTTTACACCAGGGTCAGATGATCATTCTCACAGTTTGATTTAAACCATATATTATGTTGCAGTTCCTAAAAAAAGTTACCAACGAACTAACGAGTAACACTCAAATTAGCAATTGGCAGGTGTTCATTTTGGATTCTGGATATGAGCTATTAAACTATGTTTGTTAGCTCATCACATCTCTGTGTTTTTCCTCTCAGGTTGGCACTCAGGACTTCGCCAGGCGTTACCACGCTACTTACGTGTCCTGGGCCTTCGCGTATCTCCTGGGCCTCATCTGTCTGGTACGGGCCTGCTACTGGGGAGCGATTAAAGTCAGCTATCCAGAGAACACCTTTGCATAGACAAAGCGTCCATCCTTCATGTCCTTAGTGTTTGATTTCTCTTGTTTTAAACAGGTTAACTGTTACAAGAACATAAGAATCCAGGGGGTTTAGGTACCTGCACATGTTTCAGATTGAGTTATTGATTAGCTCTGATGTACCTGTAACTGATTTGAACCCGCAATATGATGGCGTGAGGAATTAAAGTGAAATCTGTCATTCAAAAACTAGAAAACTAATACAAATAATCCATTCGTGGTACACCTCTTGGATTTGTCATGGTTGGTGGATATCAAAAATATTTTACGTACTGCATTTCGTTACCAACTTGACCAAAAGAGATTATCTTTTATGAACAGTTTGCCCATTGCACTACAATTTTATGCAATTCTTCTGTTGTGTTGCTGCTAGTTACTACAGCCGTTCTGAGCTGAGAGATGTTATGTGTTCAGAGAGCCTGCCAGCACCCACGGTGGCACTATCTGTTAAGTTCAGATATATTTAACTGTTCTTAAAATCCTGTGCCAACATTTTTTTGTTGTTCAGTGTCCGTTAGGGGATCTCCCTCTGATAAAATTTAGCCGTATTTCCAAACCCATTTTGGCCGCTCAAACTCACTGTGAGCACTAATCATGCATTTTTTGTGGCTTTAAAAGAAAAACTGCATGTACACAGTCACTGGAGCTCTAAAACAAAACTATGGGTTCAATGCAACTTAAGCTCATTCGACAGTTTTTGTGTCATGATATTGATTGTTTAGCACAAAAATCATTTTGACAATACAAACAAACAAAAAAGTGTTGATGCAGTGGAAGTGAATGGGACCAATTCATAAACATTAAAATACTCTGTCGTTCAATAGTATAGCAGCAAGACATTTAAGCAGCAAGATTTTATATGCCTTCCAAAGGCTGAATTTATTTAATCAAAAATACAGTAAGTACAGTAATATTATAAAATATTATTAGTTTAAAATAACTATGTTCTGTTTTAATATATTTCAAAATGTAATTTATTCCTGTAATGTCAAAGCTGAATTTTCAGCATCATTACTCCAGTTTTTAGTGTCACATGATCCTTCAGAAATCATTCTAATATGCTGATTTGAAAAGAGTTGTGCTGCTTAATATTTTTGTGGAAACTGTGATGCATTTTATTTTTTCATATTTCTATTATGAATAGGAAGTTTAAAACTTTTATTTGAAACAGAATTTAGTTCATATTTGATGTGTCCTTGCTGAATAACAGTATTAATGTATTTGCAATATATAATAAATAAATATGACAAAAGAACACCTAAAACAACTTTAAAAATTACTGTTGTACAGAAGAATTAATGTACGTGCATTTATAAAATGATAAGATCACATTTCTACTTTTAAATACTCCAAAATTGACCCCAGTCACTTCCATTCTAAGAGACTCACTGTAACCTTGATTTTTTCTGAAACCTGTTGAAAGAAAACGAGTTGAAAATATATATTTTTGTGACCACAAATGCTTGATCTTAACTTGTATTGAACCTGAAATATTCCTTTAATTTAACTCACTGATCAGACACTTGGTGAATGGGCATGATTTTAATTTGATTCTTTTGTACTCAGAAACAGTGTTTTGTTAGTCTGTTACTGACAGGGCACAGTGGAAGTGTTACACCATGTGTCTAGTGCTCTTTCCTGTGTGTAGAATGTAAACGCCCCACTGCCACCCGCCTAATTCCACAACGCACCACATCCTTGCTAGTATTGCTGTAGCTTACATTTACAGTAGTTCCGTATTTTGTCAAGACAAATGGAGATAACTATACTATCTAAACTTGTTCTGAATGTGATGAGCCAGTGAAGTCCTTGTACATAGGAAACTGAGCACACAAAGTCTGTAGTTCAAGTTGGAATATGGCTTGGGTCTTTTTAAAACAATAATTTCTCAATAAAATGCTAAAATATTCCTTACCCTTTGACGGTGTAATGCTTCATGCCAGCTTGACTTGAAATGTCATTTTATTTTTTACGTATAATCGCAAATATGTTATTTTGCATTGCACAAAAGCCTCCTGATTTCCTTTCATTTGGCACAATGTGTCATTTGGATGAACAAGGCATGATTTGCTTTGTAACAAGTGGCATCATTAGTATTTTTGATGAGAATATTCGTCTCTACCGTCACACAGGCTTTTAAATGAACAATTCATGAATGCTCTGTGTGTCTGTTTAATGCAGACACATGACATAATTCAGGAAGAAGCCAACACCAAATGGTCTTTCAAAGGTCAGGCTGTCATTAGACATGGTCACCTATAGCAGCGGACAACAGGGCCCTCATTGTTATTCACATACGCTGATTAGACCTCTTCCACGGTGAATCATATCTTGCCACAAAATAAGTAATTATAAAAAATACAGTTGTGGTGAAAGGTTTACATACTCCTCGCAGAATCTGCAAAATGTTAATTATTTTGCCAAAATCTAAGAGGGATCATACAAAATGCATGTTGTTTATTTAGTACTGTCCTGAATAAGATATTTTACGTGAATTTATAATGTATATTATTTATTATTCACTGTTCTTCAGAAAATCCTCCAGGTCCTGCAAATCCTTTGGTTTTCCAGCAGTGATTGAGAGATTCATCTTTTCACACTGATGACAACTGAAGGACTCATACACAACTATTATAAAATGTTCAAACATTCATTATTGCTCAAGAAGAAACATGATGCAACATTCATTATTGCTCAAGAAGAAACATGATGCTAAGGGGGGGGGGGGGTGAAAACTTTTTTAAATTTGAAAATCAGGATGATGTATATTTATTTTGTCTTCTGTAGCTTAATAAAGGCAGTACTAAATGAAACAACAACAAAAAAAAGGGGGCGGAAAATGTACATGTACATCCTGTACTAAATTTTCTGCCCTTAATGCATCTTGTTTCGTTCTGGAGCATCGGTGAACATTTAAATAATTTGTAATGGCTGTATATGAGTATGTATACAGTTATGAGTATGTGCGCGTGGAAATTGTTCAACCATGACCTCCTGTTTCACAGGGGTATAAATAAGAGGTAACACATAGGCCAAACTCCCTTACTCATTCATCATAATGGGTAAGACCAAAGAACATAGCTGTGATGTGCAGCAAATGGTTGTTGAGCTTCACAAAATGGGAAGTGGCTACAAGAAAATAGCAAAAACACTGAAGATGCCCATTTCCACTATCAGAACAATAATTAAGAAATTCCAGCCAACTGAAAGTGCTATGAATCAGCCTGGAAGAGGACAGGTGTCTATCTTGTCCCAACACACTGTCAGGGGGATGGTTCGAGATGCCGAAAAACCTCCAAGAATCACAGCTGGAGAATTGCAGAAGTTAGTTGGGTCTTCACATATAAAATGTTCAACTCGCATTGTTATGTTGACTATAAATGTAAAGAAATGAAAAAAAGTCTAAAATTGTGGTATCCATATTATTGGACCACACTGTATATTAAAAAAAAACAAAACTAGATTAGTTAATTTAGGCCAATATATTTGTTTCTTTCCAATCCACTGGATGGCAGTGTTGATTCTTGAGCGATGGACGTGGCACTAAATGAGTCATCTGGCTCTGGGAAATAGTCTGGCACAATCAGTCCTGAACAAGAAGAGCTTTCATATGCTGTCGCCATCTCCAAATTTCATATGATTTCATGTAGAAAAATTCCAAGACAGATTCAATGAAAATAAGCCAGTACATCCACTTAGAAACTTTATTAACCACTTGATACTATACCTCTACTTGGCAAAACTTAAGATGAAAATTGTGGTTGGTCACATTAATTTCATATGTTCATTCTGAGCTGACAAACTACATGGAATACAAGAACAGAAGTATATCTTCTTAAATAAATGGTCATGTCAAGTGCTGCTACGCGAGGAGACAGACCTGTGCTACAGACAGACTGACAGCACTCAACACTGTACTTTCACGGCACAGATGAACACATATCTTACGCATCTCTGATGGGATTGGAGTGCTATCACTGGAGAACAAAGATCTCATTGCTTTATTTGCTATCCTCTACAGTTTACACTACTCCTATAGAGCTAAGAATGTAACAACATTGAAAGCAAGTGCTAGTCACTATGACTATACAGCAAATATGAACACAATGTGTTCCTGATGACAGGGATACAGATGTCAGTCCAGGCTTGTGTGGTCCTCGTAATGTCTGCTGTCATCTAACGGGAGTCGACAGATTCTAGTTATTGTTGAGGACCCACCATGATGCTGTGGAAAGAAACAAATTAATAAACAGATTTTTTATGATATACTTTTAATATAGCAAATAAATATGTTTTATTTTCAAAGCGTTTCTGTACTGTAGTTTACCTGGAACCAGCATAGTTGTCATAATCTCTGGCGTCTCTAAGAAATCCACATTGCCTCTCTGGAAGGTTTTGCTGTAATTGGTCTGCAGATGACTATAAATAGAAAAGAAATAGGCTTTTTATCCAGTTACTGCAATTCCTTGATTGCAATAAGAAATCTTTGGGACTGTATTAATATTGAAGCTTGTGAGAAGTGGTTTGAAAGAGTGAAAATGTGGGAGCGACTTACTTCTTCCACATGTTGCTTTGCTCCCAGAACTCATACAGTATGAAGCGGGATTCGTTGGCAAGCCGCTGAACTGCAACACTGCCAAGAGAGCAGAGCCAGTGTAGGATTAAAGGGGTCATATGATGTTGCTAAAAAGAACATTATTTGGTGTAATGAAATGTGTTTATGCGGTTTAAGTTTAAAAAAACACATTTTCCACATACTGTACATTATTGTTTCTCCTCTATGCCCCGCCTTTCTGAAACACATCGATTTTTACAAAGCTCATCGTTCTGAAAAGCGAGGTGTGCTCTGATTGGCCAGCTATCCAGTGCGTTGTGATTGGCCGAATACCTCAAGTGTGTGACGGAAATGTTACGCCCCTTACCATATTGTGATGCCCTGTCCGGCCGGAGCGACGAGACAAAAACATTAAAACCCATTATAAACGAGGCATTTGTTGCATCCAGTGGGGACATAATTACGGATTATAATGACTTATACTGTCTTGCATTGCGTTGCATCGTGCCACGTAAACATAAAACCATGTCTGCTGTTTCTCCGCTCTCTGCTCACTCAAGCACATCGTGATGTAGATATGTGGGGGCGTGTTAGAACCAGCCGTTTTAGGTAGGCGTGGTTGACTCGACTTTTATAAAGAATATCTCTTTGGATTTGAGACTTTAGTCTTTGCAACTTTACAGATCTTCTTTATGCACCAAGAGCTTGTAACACTCCAAAGAGAAAGGAAAAATTGAAATCGCATCATATGACCCCTTTAATATCAAACGTGTTTGCTTAAACTGGTTCTTTAGAGTTTGAAAGGACTCCATAAAGTTTAAAGCTCTAATTCTGTGTTGTTCAAAGGATTTCAGAAAAGTTAAAAAAAATTTAAGGAATGTAAAATTTAAATTGTATCTTTGTATGTAATTTCATAATTACTTCTATTGTCTTTGAAATATGATTAAAGTGTCAAATATACTGACATGCATTTATAATAAAATAAAATTAAACATGTCTGTCATGTATTTAAATATATTGTGTAATTACACATGAAGTTGCAATTTAAATGTAACATTGATTACGTTAAATTTAACATACAATCATACAACAAAAATACAAGTATTTGACATATTCTTAGCATGTCATCAACACATAAAAATAAGCACACTTAAAGCACGACAAAAGATTAATAAAAGCATGATTTATAGTCATTTAAAATGTACT